AAAAAAAACCAGCAAAATGCTGCTCTCATTGCCTGCAACTGGAGTCACTGGCAAGACGTGTTCTGCAACAAGTAGGAGGTTAGACAGCAAGCAGTTAGGCATGGTGGTTAGACACTCCCAATAGACAATGAATGGCTAGGAACTGCAGTTAGAAACTTCAGTTAGACAGCCATTAGACAGTTAGACACTGTAGTTAGACACTGTAGTTAGACACTGCGGTTAGACACGGCGGTTCAACTCTGCAGTTAGAGCTATTCAGTTAGACACAGCTGTTAGAGCTATCCGGTTAGACAGCGGTTAGACTTTGAAGTTAGACACTGTGGTTATGCACTGCAGTTAGACAGCAGTTAGACAGCAGTTAGACAACAGTTAGACACTGTGGCTAGACACTGCAGTTAGACACTGTAGTTAGACCCTAACCTTGAGACAGACAGCGGTTAGACTTTGAAGTTAGACACTGTGGCTAGGCACTGCAGTTAGACACTGTAGTTAGACCCTACCCTCCTTAGGCAGTGGTTAGACGTAATTGATAGTCAGGGGCTAGCGGTTAAGACTCCAGTTAGACACTGCAGTTGGTCACAGCCATTAGACACTGCAGTTTGACACTGTGGTTAGACAGTGGGGTTAGACAGCGGGGTTAGACGGTGCAGTCACTGGCTGGGCACTGTGGTTAGACGCCAGCTGGACATAGCAAACTGGATATATATGCTTTAGACCGCCAGTAAACGGCCTCAGCCTTGCTGAAAATGTTTCATCTCCTGGTCCGAAAAAGTCGTCGTCGATAAAATAAATCAACGGCCAGCATCACATTTCGACCTCTGACAGCGACCTGCAGCCGATGTGAGGTGTATACTGGTGGTTGGTGCCATGCTTTGGGACATGGTGAATTTTTGAAACACTGTCGTGATGACGTTCAGATGCTTGTATAATAATAAAAAACATGGACCTGCTGTACGAACTGCGGGTAAAAGACACTGCAGTTAGACACTGTGGTTAGACACATTGTTATAAACAGTTTAGAGTCTTTAGACACTGTGGCTAGACACCGATACGATGAGATATTGATGGCTAAAAGAGTGCTTTCTTTGTGCTCTTCGTGTTCGTCTTCTCTATTTCTATTGATGTTGTTGTTGTTGTTGTTGTTGTTGTTGTTGTTGTTGTTTTTTTTTTTCCGCAAACGACACAAAGTGCGCTTTTTCATGTGATTGAAATGTGAAATGTGAAATGTGATGCAGTAAACGATGTATATCTGTAATCCATCAGAAATTCCAAATTCCGCAACCATAACGACGACCACTCCTCCCTCCTCCCTCCTCCCTCCTCACTCCCTGCATGAGACTCAGATAGTTTTGGCGATGGTATGGCTGCCTACAGGTTAGCTACGATTGGAGCAAAGGCGCGGAGAACCATAACCCTGCAACAGCGAAGAATTACATTTTCCTACATGCGACTCAGGTACGCTGCGAAGCAACTCACTGCTCATCCACTTTTTTTTTTTTTTTTTTTTTTTTAATGAGAATGCTCTTTTCAAGTTTCCACTTGTTACGTGTGTTGATTTCCTTTTTAAGGATCCTGCTTACCACTACAAGGATGCTAGCACTGGACGGCATCCAAACAACAAGGCACATAGGCTGGACCTGCCTTCCTCCGTAGACTATAACATCATTCCAAGCAGGGATGTCTGTCGTGTAGCCGTTGAGGGGCACAGCGCATGTATGGCTTCTCTGCTGATTGTCCGCACCGACGCTTCATTATCATTATTTTGCTTGCGTCACTCGGTCGGAGATTCCAGCATAGGCATGAGGAACACGGGTGGACAGCCAAACAACAAGGCAGGCAAGGCAGCATGGCAAGCAAGGCAGCAAGGCAACAAGGCAGCAGGGCAGTGAGGCGGGGCATGGAAAGCAGCTGGGGGGAGCAAGGTAGAAGAATTGGAACCCAGCACAAAACTGACTTTTATTTTTTGTTCACAATTGTGGATGCATGTTTTGTTTTGTAGGATTCTGAAGTGAAAGCCAAATCAAGGACAGCTACGGGTTCGAAGCGGTAGACTCATTTTTGGCAGCAGTAAAATCCAAACAAGGATTCAAGTCGGATGGATTTGGGCGCTTCTGTAGTGACCCGTACATTTCCTAAAATTGTGGCTTGTTAACGGGCACTACTTTAGGAAGTACTGGTGGTTTAAAAGCGTCCATGTTCATGTTCTGCTTCTTTCATTTCACTCAACGGTTGTTTTAATTTTCTCTTGCGTCTGTCAGTGACTTACCTTGCCTGCTCGCTTCCACATGCAACTGTTTCCCGCGCGGATTTATTGGTAGTCCTCTAGATTCTAGAATTTCTGAAATGCGTGCGATTAGTATGCAGCGGAGGAAACTCGATGCGGCGTAGTTGGTTTCGCAGTTAGCTCGCTTTTTTTTTTTGGTTGGCGATCGTGCGCTTGACTCTAATGCACTACAAAAAAAAATAAAAAAATGCGGTAGAGAAAACTCGATGCGGAACGCGTTTTAGGGAATTGTCCGACTTGCGAATATGTGTACAAAATGCGAGTTTATCAGATTCGTTTTCCTCCCCCCCTCTCTCTCTCTCTCTCTCTCTCTCTCTCTCTCTCTCTCTCTCTCTCT